GTGCTTGGCCTCAGCCGACTCCAGGGGTTCGAAGGGGTCCTCAGCCAGGGCTTCGAGAACCACTGCCAGGTCCCAGGTGGGAACCCTGGAACGAGTCACGGGTCTCATCCTCCGGGCTCCACAAAGGAAGCGCACAACCAGTGGAAGCCTCCCCAAGGGCCCATCACTCAGAGGGGCGTGAAATGCTGCAATGGCAGCCACATATACTTTGAGCGTGGACGGGGAGAGGCCCGTGGAGAAACAGTGCTGGAGAACTCCAGTATCATAATTACTGAGCAGGTAACTGGGTCCACCGTCCGTTCTCTACACCAGGTGGCATTTTTACACATTCCACTTCAGGCCGTACATCCTTCTCGTGGACGGGGCTCTGGAGCTGAACAGCGTCTCGACTGCTCCGGTCGTCAGGCCCGCATCTAGGAACTGCGCCCCCTCAGGGGCCAGACCCATAGCTGCCACAGGACGGGGCGCAGGTGAAACGCCCGGTCCTCCGCCTGGGACAGCAGGTCTCTCCTCAGAGGGACCTGCCAGGGGGGGCCCTCTAGGAGCGATATTATGTCCGAGAACCACACTCGGGGCGGCCAGACACGGGGCTACTGACAGTAGGCTGACACCGTCCAGAACCCCCGGGGGCAGAGCAACTGGGGGAAGAGCATACAGACGCAGCCTCGGCCATGGCATCCAGCCCTAGCGGGGCTGGGGGTGAGAGGGAGAACCACAGGGGACAGTGCGTAGTCTCTCGAGACGCAAACAAGTCCACGTCTATGAGGCCGAACTTTTCGCACCCACTTCGTGGTGGAGTCTCCATTCCACGGGCCTCAGCCCCTGTCTCGACAGCAGGTCTGCTCCCTGATTCTGAGTCCCAGGGACGTACATCGCTCTGAGGGACAGCAGTCTCTGCTGGGACCACAGGAGGATCTAATGTGCCAGTATGCATAACGGGCGTGAGCGCAGACCCCCCTGGTGATTCAAATAGGCCACCACTGCCGTATTGTCGGTTCTGACAAGGACGTGGCGACCGGCAGAAACTCCTCAGAGCTCTGAATACCTCCAACATTTCCAGGCAATTTATGTGCCAGGAGAAATGATGCCAGGAGCCTCTCACAAAGCGGCCGTCCACGACCGCGCCCCATCCCGTGAGTGAGACACGGGACCTTGGGACAGGAACCAAGATTTCCTCCATACAGACAGGGAACGAAGGTACCTGCTCGTAACCCGTATCAGACGGAGTGGATTTCCCCTCGGGGAGAATCCCTTGGATTTTTGCCACCACTGCAGGGCTCTCATGTGCAGTAGTCCAGAAGGTATTATACTGGACGCTGCTGCCAGGAGACCCAACACCCTCTGAAAGTGTTTTACAGTGATGGCGCGGCCTAACTGCACTCTGGTCACTGAGGACAAAATGGACTCGACGCGTGCGGGAGACAGGTGGGCCCGCATCGTTGTTGTCCCACACCACCCCTGCCCCGTAGTCCGTTGGGCAGGCGTCAGCACGCTCTTCTTTGCGTTGAGCTGCAGCCCCAGACGCTGAAGGTGGGTGAGGACGACATCTTGATGCCGAACCACTAACTCCCGAGACTGGGCCAGGATGAGCCAGTCGTCGTAGTTCAATATGCGGATGCCCTGGAGCCTCAGCGGGGCCAGAGCTGCATCCATGCATTTGGTGAACGTGCGGGGAGAGGGTGCTAGGCCGAACGGAAGAACCCGATACTGGTAAGCCGTGCCCCCGAAGGCAAACCTCAGGAACTTCCTGTGAGAGGGACAGATGGAGACTGGAAATAAGCGTCTTTGCAGATCTATTGTGACAAACCAATCCTCGAAACTGATGATGGCGGGGATGGTGAGCATTCTGAACCTGAATCTCCTCAGAGATCGCAGATCCAAAATCGGATGCAACCCATCCGTCCTTCTTGGGAACTATGAAGTACCGGCTGTAGAGCCCGGACTCCCTGACTGGCGGGGAAATAAGCTCTCTGGCCCCGTTTTCCAGCAGAGAGCGAACTTCTTGTCCCAATACATGGCTCTGCCCCTCGGGGCTGGTGGCTGGTGTTATGCGTAGGTCCCCGGTGGCACCCTGAAGCGGAGGACCACCAGGGAAAAGCTGCAACCCCTCGAGGCGGGCAGACTGGTGAGAGCTCGCTGGCGGCTAGCGTGTCCCGAGCGCCAAGACGGCGGGAAAACAGAGCCTGTTGCCTGAGCCGCCACGAGGGATGGGGACCTGCTCTCTCGGGGTGGTGGTGGTGGTGGGCCCCCCTACTCGAAACCTCAGGACCTCTTCCCCGAGCCCGCCGAGACTGAATGACGGTCCTCAGACCCGTCTTCTCGGGGGGCTGTGGGCAAGAGCGTCGCCTCGCGTCCCAGGTATGTTGAGAGGGACTATGGGAAGCGACGTTTCGCTTCTGGCTCCGGCGGTAGGGGCTAGCCGAGGGCTGAGCTCGTCTCTCTTCAGCAGGGGGAGATATTGCTCAAACGCCTCTCCTCTGTGTTTTGGCATGCTGAAACCTGCTGATGACAACATCCACTGCCTCACCAGTGGCGCTCGGGCTGCAGAAAAGCTCATTGAGGTTACTGCCGGCCCGCGGCTCCTGCCCCGCCTCTCATAGCTGGGTGCGGACTGATGACATCGGCCCAGCTCCCGGAAGTCATCCTCCATGATGCTAAGCACGTCTAGCTAGACTTCCAGGTAAGACAACAACTTTCTCGATAGTGGAGCTTCCAAACATACTCAGAGTGCCTGCTGAATAGAAAAAAGCTAATGTGTCCTGTGTGCCGGCATGCTTATATATACTACCGTTCTAGCAACACCAATAGGATTGGAGTAGTTTCATTCATAGTTCAGCCCTGCCACGCCCAGAGGCGTTCCCATAGTGTCGTCACTGACGCAGTTCAAGTTCCCTCGAAGGGGAACATGTATAACATTTTTCCATCACTGGACAGGTTCACCACTTTGAGTTCTCAAAGTTCTTGGAGTTGTGAAGCCTATCTGCGTCCAAAACTCAAGAGTTAACATGAGAAGATCCAGCTACTCCCAGGCCATTGGACACTTACACTAAAAAAAACAACACAATTGTACAGCAATTACCATGTTTGTGAGGATGTGCGTTTCACTACCCAATCCAAAAGTAAAAATCTTTAAGTAACTTCAACCTGTTTATTTGGTGATCAAGCTGGGCTAAAGTGGGGGTTCCACCTCCTTTTTCTAATATGGAAATAGCATGTAGTCCTAGAAGAACACAAAAACAAACACACTCTAAAAATGCATGCATGCATCTTTGGGAGTCTGGTTGATCCAGACATGATACCGCCACGGATAAACCATCCATAACTTCTTCCTAAACAAGCAGGCATACGCCAAATGCCCTGCTGTACAACCCAAAATTGACCTCCTCACATCTGCAGAATGGTGTTGTGTGTTTCCACTGTGCTGCTGCTTAGCACTGAACGACAAAAAAATCCATAACAACATTTTGCTGATGCCAACAGTCCTTTCAGCGCACAGAGGATACACTAAGAGCGTTACGGTGATCAAAAACTTTCGGCAAGCTAATTGGACAGCTCGTTTAACCTCAGCTATGTGAGGTTACCACATTTTCCCCTAATTAAGAGTTTTTCTCTCTTAGAAAGGAAAAAACACATGATCACTTTTTAAGAGGGCTGAAAGTTAGAAACAGCTGCAAAACATCTAACACAGTTTCTTCACAAGTTCCATTTACAAAAAAGACCTTTCGTGTAACTCAAATGTTGTCAAAGAAACGTATCACCTCAGCTCATCAGACAGGCCTGTGAAGCTCATTAGCTACAAGCATATTTCCACTTCTGCTTGCACAAAAATATGGCTGCTTTCATTGCAAGCTACGTCTGCATGCAATTCATAGCATTACTTGCAGCAGAAAACAGAAACAAAAGTCCACCAGTTTAACATTGTGATAAATGTCAGGAGTGAAGCAGGGATTCCCAACGGTTTCCTGGCAGGTGCACACACTCAGATATTCTGTGTTTAAATTATGCTGAGAGGATAGAGAGGCAAATAAAATCTGTCTGCTTTGAAGCTTTTGGTCAGTTTGCATGGACAGAAGTTTGCCATTTTTATCAATCACAACATCAAAGCCATTGTGAACCAATGTCTGCAGAGAATCCATTTTCACACAAACGAGATTTGAAAAAATTGACCGAAATGAAAAGAAGACCACTAAAGACTGAAAACTCAACATCTGCTTGTTTTCGGTAGAAGACAGGTAGAAAAAAAGTTGCCTAAAAGATTTCCTGAAGCCCAAACTTTCCATCTGACTCATTTCTCTGAGCCAATGCCAGATAGCCTCTTTCTAAAACTGACTTTAATCCTGTACTCTCTTATTTATGTGGGGTAGTTAAAACTACAATAACATCAGCACTTAATCCTTTTCATCCTCAAACATTGGATGAAAAAGTGGCTACATTTCTCCTTCCGTGTTGAAAGACATGCGACTAAAAATTTCTTAAATGTCAAGACATTCCATTAACTGGTGCTAAATCCTGTCAAGATGCTGCACCGTGCATTTATTTTAACAAGCTTAAGCCTGAGTTATTCTTCCCAGGTGTCTCTTTTGGATTTTCTCTGCTTTTGGAAAACTGTCTGACATTATCTGCGGAGACTTCTGTCAGCGGAGGCCTCATAGCAAGAAGTCCTGTGAAACATTATTTTTTGCTTTGCCTATCTCCACGTTCTTTTTCCTCAAACCTCGTTCTGTGAATTATGTGCCATTCCAAAGTTTACTTGTGTATTGTTCCAAGAATTCAAGCAAGACATCATTGTTTTTCCAGGAAAAAAGGCAAAAAGAGCCGGTCAAGGCATTGCAATCAAACAGCCATGCATGAAAAACACATTGAAAATCAAACCATAGGCGTCCTTTCAGAGCTAATGAGTTCTCACTGAATGCTACTGCTGCACTAAAAAACCTAAACATGGTGGTCATGCCAATCAAAATCATTAAATCCTGCTGTGCCAGTGGTGACGCATCACTTACCTTTGTGTGTGTGTGTGCTGCTGCTGCTGCTGCTGCTGCTGCTGCAGGGTAAAAGTATCACAAAGCTTTGAGGAGTTTGGGACAGACGCTGAACAGCAGCCTTGGTGAGGGTTTGGCTTTTATCTGCAGGTGGGTGGAGCTGCACGAGCTGAGAGAGGGGAAGCTCTGGATCTGTGCATGTATGCGAGAGAAGGAGGGAGGGAAAGCAGATAACAGGATCTGTGTGAGAGAGAAACCACTACTGGAGCTGCATGTTTGCAGCATTAGAAGTTATATTAGACAGAAAAACTGAGGCCGAATAGGAAGCCCACTCAGCTTCCACAAGGAGGATGATTCTCGTTTAACTTGGAGCTCTCGGTGCATTCTTTGCATGCAGAAAGATTTAAGGGCAGGGTCTCACTTTGGTTTTGGCTGAGGTCAAGATCTAGCTGAAAGGAGAGGTTTTTGTGACTACCACAGTACACACACAGTAGTTGACAAAACAATCTAACCACAAGGTCCATTTAGAAGCTGTTTTGGAGATTTCAATTGTATTACACATTCTTCCTCTGTCCCAGTTGTCATGGATTTGCAGATGTTTGAATTTCCACTTAAAGAACTTTTAAGCCAATATGGACCTTGTTATTTCTCACATACAGTCAGTATCAGAGTATAATTTTTCTCTCTTTATTAGAGCATTGAAAAAGGCAAGTACAAGACAAATCCCTCTGCTAGTTTAATCAAAACCAAGAGTCTGCAGCCATGCTAGCTCTTTGAAACTGTACTTCAGCACAGAGGTACTTTGAACTAAATGCTAACATGCAGATGTTTACCAGGTATTATGTTGGCAAACATTACGCAAGCAATGAAGTAACACTAACGCAAAGTAGCGTACAGCAAGGGCCGAAGGAAATGTCACTATTTTGGCAGGTATTTCTTAAACAAAGAATTGGACAAATTAATATTTTGACCAGATAACTGAAACATTTGACCTGCTGGTGGTGCTAAAGGAACATTCAGGGGATCCCCTATGTCATTAGGATTCATCCTCTGGAAACCATTAATATCTGTACCAAAATTCATGGCAATCCATCGAAACATTTGTTAAAATATGTCACTCTGGACCAAAGTACTGGACGAACTGACATCGCCATCCATAGCCTTTGTTATCATGGCTACAAATGATGATTGAAGAAAACTTTTCTATCACAGTCTTTGGCAGGTAGATGTTTTAGAGGATGTAACAATCTAAAATTCTTCAATATAATATGATGTTTGTGAGTTGGAAAGTAAAGAAACTTAATTAGAATCTATCATCTGCCAAAAGAAATCAAGACGAAATGAGCTTAAGGTTGCCCAGGCCTGCTAAGCCCAATGACGGAGCTTTGTGTAATGATTGGAATAGCTGAAAGAACATTTGGTTTCGACAGTCATCAGTCATTAGTGTGCCCTGTTAGTCTCAATCATACTATTCAGGAGATTTGAGGGGACTTTTAATTTGAATATGGCCAAACTAACCCAAAGTATTCCAACACCCCCCAAAAATTCTTTAGACTCCCAATTAAATAAAAAGTCCACCCAATCTGGCAACACTGGTTTACATCATAGAGGTTTACATGTACATGCAGCCCTCCCATGTGACTCTTCCCCAGAGCTTTGGGTGTAAAATATTGAAACTATTTAGCTTTTGTGCAAATTCTTCAGTGTGTGGAAGTAACAAGCAGAGGCAGAGGGGAGAGCATTCACACTCTGAACAGCTGGTTCACATTTGAGGAATTATTCTTTGTGTTTTTGTTGGTCTTGCTATTTTAGTTCTTTAACATGTTCTCCCAATGCAGGAATTGTTTATAAAGAAAACATTTTGGTTCCCCCCTGACAGATTTTACTGTCAGCTTCTTCGTGCTGAAACACACTGCGCTAATTTGTGCTTGTTAAAGTAATTTGCAACGCAAATGGTCACATCTTTGCCTACTGGTCAGTTAATGTGGAAAAATACTGTGTACAAACAGTATTTGCCTTCATTCACCTACAAACTTGACTACTTTTTAAATCCAACAGATTAACCTATTCTTAACTTTTCATTGTCCATCTTGAAGTCATCACTTTCAGTTTTATTAAGTCCAGAGCAGCAAACTGTTTTCCCCAACATACCCCAGAAAGATCAATAAGCAGCCAGTTGTGTGGAAATACTGACCTCATACCTGTCTGCATGCAGACTTCCTGTTCATGTAGGCCTACTTATTAACCTGCGACTTAGATCTCTAGGCCAAGCTGCCGTAGCAAACCTTGGCTGGGAATCTTCCTCCCCCTAACTCCCTGTTTCCTGTTCCTCAATCAGCTTTCTTTCATCTTGGGACTTGCAGCTCACGAGTAATGCTAACAGGTGGATGCACTGTGACAATAACATGGGTTTGGTTTGTGTTTCATATATGTCCTGATCTCTCGTCATGTTTCACTAAGACTACTGTAGGACATTTACATTATTTTCTGAAGTTTTCAACTTGGGCAATATCCATTCTGAAAACTAAACCCTGTCAAACAGACCTAACTTTTTCCTCATGTTGCAGCAGCTATGAAATGGTTGAAATGTGATTAATCCAGACATCATAAACATAATTTGTTGCTGGGCACTGATTTCGAAATATGTTATGCTCCAAAACCAACAAAACATTGAAATGAAGTGACGTGGACATCGGAAAAAATAATCAACTGGTTTTCTTGTGGGTGCTCTTTTTGTTTTTTTTTCTTGGAATCTCTCTCTGACACGATCAATCGAGGGTAACTGGAATACACATTCTGTATTTTATCCTAAAACACCTCACCAGAGGTTGTTTCATATTGGTTCTGTCAGCATAATGCTCAAATTTGTAAATACTTAAATGCAAAGCTCAGAAGCACTTATCAGCATAAAAACTTTTTATGATTGTACACAGAGGTGCTTTATGCTAAATGCTACATGTATATCAGGTATGACATTTACCGTGTTCACTATCTTAGTTTAGTTTGTTAACATGCTAACATTTGCTGAAGTACAGCTGAGGCTTATGGGAATATCAATGTTGGCAATAAACCACTATTTGACAAATTAAAATGAAACTTCTGACCTTTTGATGACAGAGTTAGAGGAAAAGTTGAGGGATCACCAAAATTATTACAACTCATCCTGAAAGGGACATGAATGTCTAAGGCCCACACACCAGATTTAATCCTTCATTCTGATTTGGCTTCCTCTAAAGGTTTCAAAGTGAGTTTGCATTTAATGGTCAGTTTCTTTAAGGACATTAATACGCTTATTTATGATATAAGACATTTTTTGTTTGCTCATTGTGCATTTCTTAAGAACATAAAGACAAAACTCAGATGCAGCGGAAGGGAAGAAAAATAAATGACAGTGTACTAGCTCCAGTTCTGTCACCACAGATATAAGTAGGCTACCACTCTTAGCTTTTGTTAAGATCATCTGACTTTTCTCCCTTTAGCAGACCCATAGCTGTCAGTTTTGGCCGTCGATCAAGCCGTTACAACATAAAGCCACCTAAAGACTCAATAAAATGCATATCTTCCCCTTTCTCCAGTGCAAAATCAACACTTCCCAGCTCGAAACGAGTCTGCTATTGCTCTGCTGTTTTCTGTCTTAAATCAAGGAACCAATCTTTAAAAAATTACTGGTAATTCAGCCACCTTTACCACTGTAAACTGCATATGTCATGTGTAAAAACGTAGCAGTCGTGTCTAAGGGGAGGCACAGGTTAGCAAATAGTTTCAGTAGCTCTGAAATCCTTGCACAGACCACGTGCTAAAACTGTAAATAATTACTTAGACGTATCTGTTAGTTAACAGTAACAGTAAATTGTTTTCCTCTGCTTCCTAAAATGCTAAAGACAATAAATATCCTCAAACTGCCTGACAGTCAAAGGTAGATCTGAGAAACGCCACAGCAAAAACTTATTTATTCTTTACCTCCTAGTCCTCATCCATCATACAGGCCCTCGACTACGATTAACCTTAAAACCTTGTGGAGAGATTTATGAGCTCTCACTGGATTTCCTGTCTTGCCAGCATGAGATTTTTCAGTGTTCATACATCAAGCTACTATTTCAGGATTTTTTTTTTGTCACCTCTTTTTGGAAGCTTGAAAGATGAAATGTGACATCTTTAAACTTTCCATTCAACCTGTTTTCTAGTTAAGGTATAAAAGTCTGCATAGAGGTTTGTATGTGCACGTATTCATGCACTAATTTGTAAATTGCTAACAGAGCTCTGTCTAACATTCTGGATCTGTTTTTTGTCATTAGTAGAGTGCACTTTTAAGATTTTGGCTCCAAAAGTCTTTAGTCGCGAACAGATGCGGGACCTGACTGTAGTTACATGATGTCATTACATGAAACGATGCAAAGTAAATACCAGTTACAGCTGCAGGGCAAGAAGACTAATGGTCCTAATGCGATGAGGCAGAATTGTGTATATGTTCCCAGTCACAACATACATATGGTGAATAAAGTAAAGGTTACACATCAGTCAACACTGTCTGCAGTACTTCCTCACAGTGAAACAAGCAAACCCGCCGATTCCTGCTGGAACCAGTTACTTAATGCGGTGACGAGCTGTTAGCTCTCTCATGACCACCTCTGAATTTTTCTGTCTGGCTGTTAATCCGGTCGTCTCAGAGCCTGCTTTGAGTCGGGGCTGCAACTTGAATGTTCCTCTCCATCTTTGGTGGATGGTTTTGAGAGTTTGGCAGAGGGACAGCGAGGGCAGAGCAGCCGGATACAAAAGGTTCTGGAGAAGACGGTTTGTTTTCATCCCTTCATTAAAGCTAGCAGGCTGTGTGAAAGGCACAACGAAAGAAAGTCAAGGAAAATCATTTTGCCCCCTCACTTTTCCTTTGAGCTCTTGACTGTGTCTTACTGTAACTGGCTGAGTAATACTTACAGTAGTGACACATAGCAGAGGAGTGAAATCGTGTTTAATTGGCAGAAAAATGTGTGGTTTGATTAATTTGGTCCAGACTAAGGCTAAACAGTTATACTTTGTTGTATTTTAGTTCTGGTCCGGTTCCTGTTCACACTGGCTTTTTACAGACTGACAGGTAACTCGTTGATTGGATAGTTTTTGTTGACGTCATCCTGCTTCATTAGGACCCACATGGGGAAATCAAATTCCAGTGACTTCAGCAATAATTAATTATATTATTTACACCTGTGCTTTTGATACTGTGACATGCCAAAGTATCTTTGTGAAAAAGGCCTAC